CCCCCCCAAGCCTCGGCCTCCCCGTGCCTCAGTTTCCCCCCATTTGCAGCAGGCTGCGTGATGCTGAGCGCATCAGTGTGCTTTGGGACCCTCAGGTGGAAGGGGGCAACCATCTGGCCACAGGGATTTGGAGCAAGCCCTGCCTCCCCCATCCCTGCCACGCTGGGGAACATGCCAGGCAGTGGTAAAAGGCCCATCACCATGGCGTCTAGGCAGCAGCTGAACATTAGGAAGCCCAGGCTCTCGGCTGGCAGCGAAGGCTCCGCGAAGCAGCAGTTCCTGCCCAAGAAGCTGCCAAGGGGGACAGGGAAGCAGGGCCGGATCGCTGGGGGTGCAGGCGGGCGCTCCTGGAGCCGGAAGGCGATGGGAACTGGGACAGCCCTGGGAGCTGCCAAGGGGCTGCAGCACTGAGCGGCCTGGGCTACCTAAGGCTGCGGGAGCCCAGCTGGGAAACCGTCCAAACCCACCGCTGCCGCCTGCGAGAGCCGTAAACGCGGCGGGAGCTCCGCACGGGCACGTACCCTGCATGCCCCTGCCCTGCAGACACCTCCCAGCTCTGCCAGGGCTATGCCCCGTGAACCCCAGGACCCCCGCTCCCCAGAAGTGGTGCTGCCAGGGCTGTGCCCCGTGAACCCCAGCACCCCCGCTCCCCCAGAAGTGGTGCTGCCAGGGCTGTGCCCCGTGAACCCCAGCACCCCCGCTCCCCCAGAAGTGGTGCTGCCAGGGCTGTGCCCCGTGAACCCCAGCACCCCCGCTCCCCCAGAAGTGGTGCTGCCAGGGCTGTGCCCCGTGAACCCCAGCACCCCCGCTCCCCCAGAAGTGGTGCTGCCAGGGCTGTGCCCCGTGAACCCCAGCACCCCCGCTCCCCCAGAAGTGGTGCTGCCAGGGCTGTGCCCAGTGAACCCCAACACCCCCGCTCCCCCAGAAGTGGTGCTGCCAGGGCTGTGCCCCGTGAACCCCAACACCCCCGCTCCCCCAGAAGTGGTGCTGCCAGGACAGCGCCAGAGGGGACTCTACGG